AAAGAAAGAAAGAAAGAAACCAGGATGACGAGTTAGACAGGCTGGAAGTGGATCTGTGGATTCGGACTTCAGTGCTTTCAGGCTGTGTGAAATCAGGCCAAGTCACTTACCCTCTTTCTGCCTAGGGTTCCTTATCTGTGAAGTAATAGTACTTTCTTGGGATGCTCTCAGGGAGCATTTAATGAGGTAATGCATATTACAAAAAGCCTTAGAAGGTTGTTGTTAGTTTTATTTCTCTGAGATAAAAATCACTGTGAAATATTCCTTGCAAGTCAGTGCATAACTGTGCACGGCTACTTAATGCAAGGCAGTTTTCCCATGGTGTGTCTGCTCTGTGCCCAGAACAAGTTTAAGCCATTGGTACATTTGGGAAGAAAGAAAGACGTCTGTAGGGTTCTCCAGCCTGATGGTCAGAGCTCATTCCACAGTTCCTGTCTTCAGCGTCAAATGAGCATGGATATTGGATCAATGAGGACCAAGACCCATGAGGATGTTACCCCATACCTTAGAAAGGATCCTGGGGTCTGATTGTATGAAGTCATCTCTAAGTAAAAAAGAAAAGAATAAGGCCCTCCCTGGTGGCACAGCGGGTTAAAGCACTGCACTAAGAAACTTAAGCCACTTCTGCAGGAGTTCGATTCCCGCCTGCCCTGGAGATGACCACATGGCACGGCAGACCTCTCCTGACCCGCCCGCTGCTCCTCTCAGCAGTGTACTTCTACGATCTGCCTGTTCTGCTCCCTGCTCTGTCTCTAGTGAATCCTCTCACCCTTCGCATCTCTGGCCTGTACCCCAGTTCTATATGAATAAATAAATAAAACTTTAAAAAAGAAAAGAATAAGTAGACTATGCTATTTAAAATAAAGGTGAATGAAAAGTTGGGGAAATATTATATTAACAAGATATGTGGCAAGTGGTCAACAAGCTTAATAATCAATTCACAGAAATTAATCACAGAAAGAGATGGTATCTCTAAAATGTTTATATCTTATATGAGATCTTATGAAATTAAAAGGCATCACAAAGAATTTTTCAAGTTATAATGACTTATAACAAGTTGATTACACAATGTTAATATATTATGAATTAAGAATATATTAGAGATGGATGCATTTATGAACAATGGGAGTTCACTTTCATTGAGATGATGATTTCTGTCAAATAGGACAAATGATTTATGGAAACAAATTTAATGCAGGAATTTTCTCTTGTCAGCATTTTAATTAAAATTAGTTTGTGCATTATTTTAAAAATGGTATATTAGTTGCTTATTGTAAATGTGGCTTGTAAGAAGAATGTTCTAGAATATGTGGCCATGCTGCTTTCCTGTGTAGTCATGGTATAGGAAAGGTAAATTTATCTTTCTTCTTAAAAAGATTAAATGTATTACTGCTTTTTAAAAAGAATTTATAGGAAGAGACTGGGAAAGTACACAGACTTTCAACTGTAAGATGAGTAAAATTTGAGAATCTAAAGCAATACGCAGAGACTGTAGCAGATCACAGTGCATCATATAATTGAAATCTGCTAAGATAGAACCTATGCATTCTTAAACAAATATATATATACACAAATATATGTATATACAAATATATATATTATCTACATGTGTAATGGATGTTTTAATTAACTAAATAAATAATTATATATATGTGGTAATGGATGTTTTAATTAACTAAAGGGAGTAATCCTCTTACAGTATGTGTGTATGTGTGTGTTAATCACCATAATGTATTTTTTTAAATAGATAACAATTTTATGGCAGTTATACCTCCATAAAGCTGAAATTAACAATGAAATGATTGACAAAGCATTAAATTGTTTACAAAAGAATATTTATAGAGAATATTTCTGTAGTTCTCCTTCAATACTTCATTGAAAAATTCAAATTAAAACAACAGTGAGGTACGATTGCTCTGTTGATTCAATCGACAATATTTGATTAAAAGATAATGCCTACGAAGACTAGGGGCTAATGAAACAAATTTTCATGTGTGACTGGTGGGAATACACACCTTCACTAAAGCACTTGGAAATATGCATGAAAAATCCAAACACTGGCAATTCCTTGTCTAGGTGTTTACCCTTAGGAAATTCACAAAGATGATGATTATCATATAAATTGTTGACTCTAAGTGTTTAACAGTAGAGAGTATTACTCAATTATTATATAGTGTGTAACTGCCACAATTAAAAACCTTATTTTAAATTAATTTCATGTCATGGGACAATATTAGTGATATGATTGTTGTTGAGGGAAGAAAAGCAGGCTATAGTAGTGAGACTAATATAATTTTGTTAGTGGAAAGAACTCTGTGGAATATACCATTCATTGTTTTCCTCTGTGACAGGCAGACTTACATACACATCCTTTTCGTTTAGCACTGGGTGGAGATTGTTTACCCGGTAGACTTCGTTGCCATTCTATTTTTAATCTTCAATAATGCTTTTGGATTAATGCAGGATCTACTGGATCTTGAGTCTCCTGAGGAAATAGAGATAGTCCCAGGCAACCTTGAAGGAGGTTCCACTAAGGTACTGAGTATTAAATACTTTATGTAATTATTAGTGGTGTTTGTCTGTGGCTGGGAGAATTCACCATGATTTTGTTTTCCTTGTTTATGATCTTTATTGTCTAAATTTTGCAAAACAGTAAGTTTCCTAGAATTCTTAGATAAAAAAGACTAAAGAATTACAAGACAATTTTGAAGTTGGAATTTGTAGCAGGATAATTGCTGGTGTATTTTCTTTAACCTAAAAGTATTTTAACAAGAATACAAAATTAGGTGACTGTAAAATGCAAACACTTAAAAGACTGCATGTAAATATGATAAAATCTCTACTGTGATTTTCCTGCATGGTAGGACTACAAATGGTTTATATTTACTTCTTTGTACTTCTTAGTATTGCTAATGTGTATATATTATGCCCAGTCCCTCTGTGTGTGTATGTGTGTGTGTGTGTGTGTGTGAGAGAGAGAGAGAGAGAGAGAGAGAGAAAATTTTAAGAAAATTTCCTTGGACGAAATAGTGACTATACCAGATTGGTAAGAAATTTGTGGCTTAGCAGTGGGATTTCTTTTAAGTTTCCTATGGAACTTTTTTTTTTTAACTAGAGAAACTTGAGACGTGAGTCTCAAAAAGCAATCATCTGCATGTCCTCCTGCTCCAAACATGTGGTGGGTACCCACTGAAATTAGAAGCAGCTCAAGGCACAGGTAATAATTTTACAGCAAGGGGAGCTAGCTGGCTAGACGGGTTTAATGATGATTGTGAGGATTTTTCTGAGCCCACCTACATTACCAACGTGAAACTGATGAATGGCTCTGCTTCATTCATCTGATGAATTTGGGGGAGGAAGGTTAACGGGAAGAAGAGGAAATACAAGAAGTTCAGTTTCTAACAGGAAGCCCAGTTTGTAAGTGTTAAGTGTGAAGAGTAAGATGCCTGAAATTACAAATATAAATTCAGGAGAGAGTTTATTGTTTTTCACCAGGACCTGGAATATACTTATTATGAGTAAAAAGGTAAAAAAAAAATGCTTAGTGAACTGCTTGCTGTTCACTGGAGGCAGCGGATCTGCTCCCTTCATCAGTGCTGTCAATCATATCTCTGATCTAAAGATGCTAATCTCCACTGCTTTGGTAGAGAGCTGTAAAAAATATATAACTCTTTGCTTACATCCTGTTATAGAAGACAAAAATAGATGGGGTCATCATGGAGGTTAGCAAAGACCTATCCATTCTTTGTTATAGTGATCTCTGTGTTTAAAAAAAAAAAAATTTGAAGACATCAAAACCTTTTGTTTGCATTTACCAGACAACATATCAATATGCTATGTAGATAGCAAGGGAATAAGATAACCAACACCCTAAGTAAAAACCTTTCAAGCAGAAACAAGCATCCCTACACAGTGGTGATAATTAAAATGTTGGCCTCTTGAACAAGCATATGAAAAAATGTTCAACATCACTCGTAATAAGGGAGATGCAAATTAAAACCACAATGAGATACCACCTCACCCCAGTGAGAATGG